TTTTCGCCAGAGATCTTTGGGAAGTTTTGGCCCAAATCCAAAATTCCTCCCCAAGGGGAGCTCTATAAATATATGTTTTAAAAATACAGAAAAACAGATAAAGAAAAAACGTGAAATTAGTACCACATTCATAGGTTAAATTCAAGAGTGACATTTGAGTTACTTGTGACAAATCAATTAACTAACACATTTAAGGATATATAGACTTTCAAATGTATATTTGCATTTGGCATGTGCTATTTATGTCAGTCTCTTTAAATATAGACTCTGAATTCTCAAAGAAAGCACTTCAAAGTTCTCTGATTTGTATAAAAGTTTATTTAATGATAAACTTTCCTTAGACCTGAATTCACATTTTTAAATGAAATTAGATTAGAGAAAAATAATCTACAAAACTACTTTTCAATCAGTGTCTTAAAGTTCAGTCTGACTTTGGTGTTAATACTATTTTGGTCAAATCCAGGGTATTGTACAGGGATTTATTCTAATGTGTGAAGTTATGATAATTTTAATAATAAATAACATACTATGTTGAGAATAATTTAAAAACTCTCCGCCTAACTAGTTGACTAAATAATTTAGCCAGACCCCCATTATGCAAAATGTTATACACCTGGATCACTTTACATATCTACAAAAGCAGCAAGGAGTCCTGTGGCACCTTATAGACTAACTGAAGTGTAGGAGCATAAGCTTTCGTGGGCAAAGACCCACTTCGTCAGATGCATGACTAAGTACTGTAGTTCTAATCAGTTTCATGAGACTTTTTATATCATGTGTGAAAAGGTATTCATGTAAAGTGTTTGCAGGATCAGGGCCTTACTGTAAAAAAATGTATAAAGTTCATGAAGGCTCAGAGAGGTTATGACCAACATTGAAAAGTGCCCACTGACTTTGGGTGCCTCATATTATGGGTGCTCAAGCTGGGACAAATATGGTCCAATTTTTCAAGATACCAGGAGTGACAGATATTGCAACTCTATACAGTATCTTTGGAGACCACTGTATTAATTTTAGGAGCAGTTTAGCTTCTACAGTAGCTAAAAGTGTGTGTGAAAGGGTGGGGCTGATCAAAGTGGGTCTCTGGGACTAAACAGCACAAGATAGGTTCTATCCCTGGTGCAGTTTGTATACAGGAGCTCAAGCTGGGTTTTCCAGATGCTAGGAGCCAGCTTTTGGTGGAAAAGGTTGTGCTTGAACTGGTGCCTTTGTTTTGATTAAGCAAATGGACATGCCAAGGTCCCAACCTTGGTTGAATAGTTGGCCTATCAGACTCATTGTATGGGAGAAGGGTGATTTCTAATATGTTTAAAGTAGGTTTCAATCTCTTTATTTTGAATATATGGGTTTTTCCCTATAATATCCTATGGATCAATGTGCTTTCTTGAAAGAGCTCTGTGCTATTGCTGGCAAAAACACGGTCATCTTCTTCTGAGAGAAAGCAATGCACAAGGTTTGTCCTTTAGGCATACTGGCTTGCTGGGGATATCACAGGAGATGACAGGAGGCTGGGCAGCCTAAAAACCTCCAGTCAGAAGGAAGTAAGTAGGACAAGGGTGCTCTCCGAATGATAGATGATGGCTGGAAACCTGAGACCTAACTGGTCTCTCTTGTAGTGAATCACAGAGGGAGAAATACAGATGCAGTTATCCTGAAACTTTGTCAGAATCCCTTAAGCCCTCACTGACTTCAGTTGGAGTTGTGGGTCCTTAGCACCTCTGAAAATCTGGGCTCATTTATCTCTAGGACGGTAGAGCACCCAAGACCTGAGGAACACAAGGTCATACAGCAAGTCAATGGCAACAAGGGACAGACCACAAGTAACCCAGCTCATAGTTCAGTGTCTTACCTCCTGGAGCACATTTCCTTCCACGTCATCAAAATTATACACTAGAAAAGTGCAAAATACTGTAGAAGAATGTGGGGAAAAGTTATTGAAAGCCAGATGCACAACAATACATGGGCTGGTCTACAGATTCAGGCCAGGGGTTGCCTCAGAGCTGTGCACAAAATTATTGAAAATTGGATTCCTTATCCATGTATTATAGACATAATAGGAGAAACTACGCCAGCACGCTGTGACGGGGTCTGGTCACAGAAGATTTTTTAGGATTGTTCCTTGGTGTGCGATTGTGCACTTTCTCGCTCTCTGGGGCTCCCTGCAGGCAGGGGCTGCTCCAGCCAGATTGGAATGCTCCTTACCTGCAGCACGGCAGGCTGCTCCAACTAGGCTGGGCCCATCCGCATTGGGCAGGGGGCTTTTCCAGTCTGACCAGGCTGCCAGTTAACCGTAACCGATGAGCATTACCCGGTAAGGGTGATGCTTAGCGGTTAACCAGTTAACCATTCACATCCTTACTAAAAATCAAACGAAGAGTCAGCTTTGAAAATGCACACCCTAGTGGATGAAAAACAGATTGAGCTATGCATCAATACAGTAGTGTTATACAAATTCCGATTACCAAAAAAAAAAAAAAATCTGTTGTAACACACTAATTCCTGCGGGGGAGGGGGCACAGTCAACAGCACCATGAATGACTGAAAAGGGCCTCTGGAACCGGTGATGTAAAGTGGCATTAGCGTTTATTATTATTTGTTAAGCACTGACAGGATGCTTGGTGCTGTAACTTGCAGGAGGATGTAAAAGCCAGGCTCTGATGTTATACCAATGGCCGCCTTATGTCAGACAGGGAGATTCACACAGCATTAGGAATTCTAAGAGAGCGTTGGATGAAAAAGAAGAAATACTGGGAATGGCTGACCTCTCCTGCCTACGTCTGGTCACCAGCTACTTTGCCACTATAAATTGTCATAGCCACAGTGGCTTCAACAAAGCTAAGACAATTTATACCAGATGTGGCTTTGTCCCCTGAAATCCTGCATCTCTCATCCCAACTTCTATGCTAGAAACAGTCTGACCCTATATAACTAAAAAACAAATAGGTGGGTGTAAGAAATTAAGGTGAGGCAGGATGCAGTTCTATTGTATACTCTCCAGTATTTTTTTTCTTGCTGCAATTGCTTTTGCACCACCATGGTGAGTAAATTACACACATTTACCATACACACTGAATGCGGAACCAGTGCATGGTATTACCACTGGGCCATGTACATTTTCTGACCAATTAACATTCATTGTGCAATTGACTCCCTCCTCAAAGACACTGTTGAGTTTGGCCTTATAGGATGCTACAAGCTGGAGCAAAAGTGTTGTGGGCTGTAAATGAGCTGTCTTCCAGCTGCAGTTATTATGGGAGTCCTGAAGATTTACATGAGTGAGTGCAATAAACAGAAAGGAACAAAGCCAGAGCTACAATAAAAAGTCAATGAGCAGGATCGGCTCATAGGCCTTAATTCTGCAAAGATTTACACACATGCTTAACTCAAATCAAAGGGCCCACTCACATGTTTAAAATCATGCACATGCATAAATTCTTGCAGATTTAGATTCTTAAAATCTATGTCAAAGTATACTTATGGACAGCAAATTATGAAAGCTGTAAACAAAAATACTTGTACTGGAAAGTTGATTTTAAGTTACTCACAGCCAATTAGGAAAGAGAAACAATGACAAGTGTCCTAAAATCTAACTACCACAGTTCAAATTTTATATAATTGAATACTCACAATGAACTGCTTTTAAGCTGTATGTATAACAGTGGTTTTCAGCTTTTCCAGACTATTGTACCCCTTTCAGGAGTCTGACAGTCTGATTTCTTTCAATAACCCCAAGTTTCACCTCACTTAAAAATGACTTGCTTACAAAATCAGACATAAAAATACATTGTCACAGCATACTATTACTGAAAAATTGCTTGCTTTTTCACTTTTGCCATATAATTATAACATAAATCAACTGGAATGTAAATATTGTATTTGCATTTTAGTGTCTAATATAGAGCAGTATAAACAAATCACTGGGTGTATGAATCTTTAGTTTGTACAGACTTTGCTAGCGCTTTTTATGTAGCCTGTTATAAAATGAGTCAAATATCTAGATGAGTTGATGTCCCTCTTTCTGTACTTGGCTGTCTGCTCTCTCTGTACTACCTCTCTTTGTATTCCAGTGGTAGAGAACAAAATACAGTTGCATTTTCTTGAGAGGTCATTTCAGTATCTTGAGAAAATCATGAACAATGGATGATCAGGACCAAAGGCTCCTCTAATTTTGACTCTTTCCATTTCTGTATATCTATTTTGAAACGCACAGGGCCTGGCTGTAAAAAATATTCCAGATTAAGTCAGGGTTTGCTCAACATGCCTGAAAATTTGTCTCTCTCACTTAGTCTTTCAAGCTGATGACTCAGTGTATTAGGAGCCCCAAATTAGTAGCTAGTTTTGAAAATGTTGGCCTTAATAAGCAAAAAGCATAATTAAATTCATCAGCTCTCTTATTCACTAGGAATTATTTGCTCAGATCTCATTTTAATTTTGTCCAATAAAAGGTATCAGTTCACTGTCTCCATAGCTGTCTTAGAAAAAAACAATGTAGCTACCAATTTTCCCCTGCTGGATGACATACTTGGGCCACAGCCCTCTAAAGAAAAAGCTATTTTAGAAGCCTTTTTGTTTTCCATTTATTATTTTTCTGATGCTGGAAGCAATGTTATTCATCAGAGAGAAGAATAGCTACATTGTATTGCTAATGTTTAATCAAAACACTATCTTCATTTTGCTACAAGCTAGACTACTGCTTTCTTTCACAACCTTAAAATACATCTACAAACCATGGTGGATCAGTGAAATCATCACTTTATGTTCAATGGGAAACTTTTTTTAAAAAACATTATTCAGATGATTGCAAAAGCAAATCCCCATTTATAGAAATGTGCTTGACCAGAATGAAAGAATGAAAGCCATTCAAGGCCTTGATGCTTTTATCAGATTAACAGTTGAACCATATGAAGAAAGATGAGCCAAATTGGATGAAATGACACCAAAAAAAATCATTAGCGTACTTTCATAAAAACAAGCTGTGCCTACTGTAGCACAAACTAAGCTATGCGACTTCAATCCTGTGCTCATAACTTTACACCTTGTGTTTCTATTAGTATGTTTTAATGAATATTTAAGATATATGTTTAATCAAAGTTTATTATGTTAATTAGTTAATAATCAGTGACGTATTCCAGCTCAAGATGGACTCCATGAACTATAGCCCCTGACTCCATCTTTAAGGACATTTTCACCTCAGTAATAGCTGATGGCTAGAACCGGACCGTTTCAGTTCTTCTCACCACTTTAAGTGCAGGTTTCCCACCTTTGGGAAGTGAGCATTCTGGTATCTCAGGTTTTCCCACCTTTGAGTTTATATAAGACTGTGACTCTACAGTTGCTGCCACCGTCCACCTTAGAAGCAGCCATGTAAAGATCAGGATCTTCCAGCTCCAAAGTGTCAGTAAAGATTACCATCATCTGAAGCGAGCACAAGAAGAGGATCTGCATAACACCACCACCCAACCAATCCATCTAATCTCTGCTTACCTGGAATCAACATCTATCCAGAGGGCATTCACTCAAAGGATTCTCTTCAGTCACGAGGCGAGTGACACCAGTCTCTGGACTCCTTAGTGTTCTTCCCTAAGGGCTCCCCATGAGCCTATATGCAGCAGGTCCTGGACCTTGCTCTGTACACTTTGCACCTAGAACCAAAGGAATAAGGTTTATTTTGGGGGGTGCTTATTTTCTCAGAAGCCAAGGGAGGGAATGGGTTATTCGGGCCCAAGTTCAAGCCCACTGCTTATGTCACTGATTCACTATGGTTCTTTGTTGTTTTGCTCATTCCCTTCCTCCCTGAATTGTAATTTTGTCCCTAATATACTTACCTGCTTTACTTTACTTACTTGTCCTCTCACCTTTATCTCTGTACAAGCCACACACATGGGGAGGAGGAACATCATTGACAGGATTAATAATCGGTCTATAGGTGATTCTTGATTCTTCTGAGAAAAGGGGGAGCCTTATCAACTTCTTATTTCCTCTATCTACCCTCATTAATAATCATGTTATTTTCCTTTTCTCCGGTTGAGGTAACGCTTCTCAACCTTTTTAAATTGCGATGTAAGAAAATAATCAGTACAAGCATCAATTCTATTTATCTTTAGTTAGGAGTGAGTTAGCCCAAATCAAGAAACTGGATACAATTAAAACAGTTGTTTCCTGAAGTTCTACCACACTTCATTGTGATCCTCAGGTGTCTGTCTAGCCTGATGGACATGGTATAAAATCAGAAAGGTGAGCGGGTGTGGGTGTGAGAGAGAACAAACCTGAATGACAACAGTAAATAATTTAAAATATTTTACAGGAACAATTTATTTGTATTTTTGTACCTATGTGCTTGTTTCAGCCACACACAAGCATTCAATATTGTGTTTTCCCTTACTGCCTGAAAACCAGGCTGGCTGGTGTCTCAAGATTCCCTCCCACATACTCTGGTTCTGGGGGAATTGCTTTGTCCAGATGAGACTCTCATTCCTTCATCTTGTCCTGGGACAACAGTCATTGCAATTCTGTGAAGCAACCATCAAAGGAAAGTTTCAGTCTTGCAAGATGATGCATTGGTGAATGCACTCAGCACCTCCCAGGATCTGTGTATTTCTTCCCTTCTCTCATCCCTTCCAGTCACACTTCTAGGGCCAGTCACAGTCCTATGGCTAAATGCACATACAGTCCCAAATAACTGGGCAAAGCTCACTGATGCCCAAGTCCATAAGAACATAAGAAGGGCCATATTGGATCAGTCCAAAGGTCCATCTAGCCCAGTATCCTGTCTGCCAATGCCAGATGCCCCAGAGGGAGTAAACAGAAGCAGGTAATCATCAAGTGATCCCTCTTCTGTTATCCATTTCCAGCCCCTGGCAAGCAGAGGCTAGGGACAC